TTATTTTATTTTATTTTATTTTATTTTATTTTATTTTATTTTATTTTTTTGCAGGAAACTGCCTTCTTGAATGTTTTGTCACATCTTCTTAATTACTCTAGGTCTATGTTCTCAAGCACCATTTTGGAAAGAATATCATACTAGTTTGTGCTTTCGTGGGCATTTGGCTCAGCCTCAATGCCCTTTTGTATTCTAAAGTTGTTTTTAACTCAGGTCAACTCCTGGGATTTGCAAACAGATTAAAGAAAGGGGCAGCATGTTGAAGGAAGAAGGAGGAGCTGCTTACCAAAGCAATAATACCAAGAAAAAATTTTGTGTAACTGCAGGCTTTGATAGAGCAATGATAACGTGTCTTGTGAAACACTTCATTTTTGAAGAGAAGTCAAATACATTCAGGCCTGTCTTTTCCCAACATTGATTATTCTGGAGCAGGCTCATAAGGTGCAGAATTCAAAGGGTCCACGTTTATATGCAAGGTAAGAAACATCCATAATCGACTGAAGTGAGCTGTGGACTGAAAATGTTAAGAAACATTGTTTTCTCCTGTCACAAATCTGCCCAGCTATATGTATATACACAAGCAAAAGCATGTTTGGTTCAGTCAGGTTCTGATAAAGGTTAAGGCTCCATGTTCATTACCAGAGTTCTCCTCAGAGTTCTCCTCCAAATATTTCTTATACACAATCAAGTGATACACACTTTATGAATGTTGTAAGGAAGCACTTTGTTCTCTATTGTGAACTTAACGCCTGAAAAGTATCTTGGCTGTTTTCTGTGTCACGCTTGCTAGCTAACTGCTTGCACTGCCGTTGTGCACGTGTACCATGAAATGTATGTGTTCAGTAATGCCTGAAGACCAAAGGACAATCACTGAGTTGTACTGCACTGCTTTTCTGATGGAACAGAAACTTCCTAAAAGGTCCCAGCCTGGAGTATGCATAAGTTTAGCCAATACGCTTGGAGAGATACATACTGGTAATTCCCTTGTTGCAGTTCCGGGTTTTAATTAGAGTTGCATACTGCAAACTCTAGTTAAAAGTAGCTCTAACCAAACTCTTATCTAAAAGTTTTAGCAGAAATTTCTAAAAACTGAATATTCCAGTTGCAGTTGCTAAGATAGTAATTTGCCAGAGGAGTTAAAGGGTACCTGTGTGACTATGGCCATGATTTCTTTTACTTCTAGACCAGGTACTGTCCCTTCCTCTGTCCAGCCTGCCCAGAACTGAAGCTTCTGTCCTTAGGGCTCTGCCAGCAAATCTGCTTTTCCAGTTCTTTGTCTTGCCTCAGCCCAAATAAGCCACATTAGCTGATAACATTTAAATAGATCTTCTCTAGCATAGCATACTATTACTGAATCAGCTAGGGAAAGGCTGTACAGTCCTAATAAAGGTCAAAAGGGTCTTCCATGCTCTGGAAGGGCCTCTGCTCTGTGCAGCTGGGTTGTTCAAGTCCACTGAACTTGCACAGGCTTGGGGGCAGGGAACATGTTTGTTGATTCTACGTATAGTCCCTTGAGAATGAACAACATCCTGTTTCAGAAGAATGCTAAAGCATGCATTTGCACACCCCTAATATGAATGGGATGGAAACAGGGAAACCCCAGTCCTTCTGGAGCCCACAGTGGAATTTTTTCTTGATTTCTACAGAGAAAAATTTCATGCCATGTTCATTAATATTTTGCTCAATGGGCCTTGGGTCCCCAGATGCTCAAAGGTAAGTAAGAGAGTGAGCATCTGAGCACTTTTTGTTACAAGGAGAAATGTGGGTCTGTCTGGTATCTACACTCCAACTTGGACTAAATGGCCAGTGTGCCAAATACAAAACATAGAAGGAGAGGAAATCAAAACTACTGTCTTGCATCTGCACATCCAAATTCACCATATGCTTTTATAAAACCTCAGTTGCTACCACATTTAGGCATCTCACAAACTTATCATCATAACTACTCCAAGGAGTGAGGCTATGCTACTATCCCTACAGTACTGTTGTCTCAGTGAAGACAAATGGTTGCTCAGTGACACACAAATAGTTTACCATCAGGCCTTCCAATCCCATGGCTCAGGCTAACCCTCCCATACTTGAGACTATGCCTCTCTCACCAAGCGTTTAACAAAAAGCTTATTGTCTTGTGTACATTGTAGTTTTACTGCGTGAATGCAGACCAGACTACAGTAAACCTGGCCTAGAAATCTCTGCTTTTACAAAAAAATTTATGACATGAAGCTTTCATGAAACCACTGTTACGAGACAGAAAAATTAAATGGGTCTTGGAACTGATTGCTATAATAGATTAAAGAGGAAAATTCTGCTTGAGAAGCATTGTAGGAAGCTAAAACTCAACACTAATGGGTAATTGGGTTCTGGAAGGTCATGGGAGGGCTGATTCCTCCCATCTTCCAGCTGCCAAGAAAAAAGAAGTCATGGCCATTGTACAGTATAGGAACTGGCTTTTAGATTTGCACAGCAGATAGCAACATTCAATGCTGTCTCACTGCAAAGCAACTCAAGTAATACCTCTCTGTAAATACAACTGTCCTTAACTTTCAACTCAACTCCACAAAGTCTTTCAAAATTTGAGGTAAGAGTTTTGCAGGAGCTGACTAACACTTTGCTCTCCTGTAGATGAAAACTTTAAACAATGTAAAATCATTAAAAAATGTCAGAAAAAAGACTTCAGGAAGTCACCTATCCTATTCCTCTGTCTTCGCTGTAACTCAGTGGCATCTTGCCATGCTTACACCACTTCTGACAAGGATCTAGTGATTTCTACTGAATTTAATACATAAACCTAAGCAAGGAACTTCTCCCATTTCATTACAGTCGTTCTGGTTAGAAATATTTTCTAAAGTCAGTCCTGAAACTCTCTGGTTCTGTTATCCAACTCCTTCACCATGAATGTGACAGAGTAATCTTACGCTTTTTAGCATCTTTTTACATACCTGAGGAATAATATTAAATCAATCATCAGCCATTCCTACTTTAGATTAAACAATCCCAGATTATTAAATCTTTATTCCAGTTGTTTTTCTCACTTCTTTCCTTCTCTTTACTTTTTCTAAAAGTTATCTTCGCTGTTTTTCTCAAAATTAGACCCATCATTTCAGTAGAGGCTTATCAGTTCTGATAAGGGTTGTAAAATTATTTCATGCTGTTGAAATTGTACTGAAGTTCTACTTGCAACTTGCGATGTCCTCTGCAACTGTAAAAGAACCAGACCCTGATCAGATGTTTACAGCATTTGATGAAACATTTGTTTTGTTCATAAACAATAGTAATTACAACCCAAAATTTTTTTTTGTCTTCCCTGTAATCTCTTATGAACATATCAGATAGAATGGTGTCAAAATCTTACTAAAGTCAAAATACATGTAATGTGTTAACTCTCATTATCCAAAAAAGTGCATTACATAGACAGAAAAGACAATAAGGTCAATTTCACATAGTATGATGAAGAAATATTGATTTCCAAATACTTCTTCCTTTTTTTCTTTTTTTTCCTGAGGATTGAAATTAGTTTGACTTCTTTAATAACTCCTCAATTCCTTCTTTTGATTAAATAAAAGCACAGTGTTGTGCTGTTCTAGTTATCCAGTACTTCATTCCTGTCCACAAGTTCCTAGAAAAGCTACTAATGACTTTGAGACAGCTTCAGCCAGTTCTTTAAATGTCCTATACAGAATTCATCAGACCCAAAGGGTTTTTTTAAAAATGAACTTAAATAAACATCCATTTCTAGGGAAAAAAAAAAAAGAAAGTTCTGATTTTAATCATGTCAGCCACATGCTCACATTTGACCTTGTAATTGATGAGGATGCTCTTCACAGAGGCCTTCTCCACATCTTTTTCTGTTTCTAGATCATTGACTCTTGGCTTACTCCTTACTGCTAATGCAGATGCAGAATGTGTTCTTCTTACCCATGGTGCCTCTGGCTAATGGTGTTTAGCTCTGTGTCCCATATTCAGTACCTAGTAGCTGAACACAGGTCCTTCTGTGCACCCTATACACACGCTGCTCAATCTGTCTCCTACTGCAGGGTCTCTCCATTTCCCACATCATCAAAGTCCCCTTATTACTGCTGAAAGCCTCACTCGTTGAATTGGTTTTGTGTCCAGTTGTGGTGGCCTCCCACCAGGTAAGTACCTGTGTTCTTTTCCTCTGTAATTATTAATCATAAAATTTTCAGCAGTTTTAGCCTTCTCAAAGAGCCAGGCTTCCAGCAAATACATGCATTCAGGCTGAGGCAACACCTCTCTTGTTTTCCCCCTGCCTCTTCTTCCTTTCATATTATTATTCCAGTCATGTAAATTATCCCACCAAGACTCTGTTATGCCAATTAAGTCATAATTTTGATCTTGTATTAAGACTTCCAGCTCCGCCTGTTTATCCCAAATATTTCTTGCATTAATATACAGATTTCTGAAGTCTTCAGTGGATTGATTCACTATCCTCTATGTATCTCTTGTGACTCTATTATGAATACCAAATCCTCCAAAATTTTAGGTTCCCATCAGGCTGCTCTGGTTTACACTCACTTTTTTTTCTCCATTCAACCCCTCCCTTGATCCTACTTTAAAGCCCTTCTAACTAGGTTAGCAATTTGTTGGATGAACAGCACGAAGTCACTGCAGTGGAAAAACCTGAACACCCCCAAAAAGCATCTCAAGCATCTGCAGGCAGCACCTCTTCTGTTGAATTTCTTCCCTGTAGCACAGAGCGCAGGGGCCCACCTCCTCTCTTCCTGTTGCAAGAGGGTCTTAATATTTCTCAGCTATTCTTTTGGTTCTGGGGAGGCCTGGTTACAAATCTCTCAGCTGGGGTGTGGTGTGTCTTTCCCTTTATGGGGATTTAAACGTTGTTTGCTCCCTGAATAACATACCTGTTCTTGTTCTCCACAGGTATCATCTGCATCAGCAGGGAGCCAACTTTTGCATCCCTGCCTGTGGAGAAACCTCTTCCGTTTCCATTGCTGTTGCTGCACCCTGCTGTAGCTAGCCAGCCTCTTTGTGCTTGGAGATGTCCTCAAAAAGCTTTTCTTCAAGTATGAGTGCAGCGAGATGGCTTGCAACTTACCCTTCGATTGAAAGATAGACTGTTGCTCTTTGGGAACAGAACAAGTACTTCAGAGGGTATCTGGTGTTAATCACAGAATCCCAGAATGGCTTGGGCTGGAAGGGACCTCAAACCAACCCAGTCCTACTTGGTGCCATGGGCAGGGCTGCCACCCAGCAGCTCAGCTGCCCAGGGCTCCATCCAACTTGTTCCTGAGCATCTCCAGGGATGGGGCACCACAGCTTCTCCGGGCAGCTGTGCCCTCTGAACAAAAGCACAAACCCGTAAAGCTTCAGTCGATCCTTTAAATTAAAAGACAAAATTTGTCACATACAGAGTGCTTTAAAAAACTGGAAAAGGGAGCTTTGTGGTTTCTGTGCCATGGCTAGCTCAACAAGAGGTCCTGCTTGGAGTCCAGACAGTTTGAGCATGTGTCCTGCTGCCTCTCTGTGTGCAGGCATTCTGTTAAAAATACACTTAATTGCGTTTTTGTAGGTGTACAAGATGGTACCACCACCACCACAGCCAGCCTTACAACATTGTTTTCATGTGTACATTCTAATGAAAGAACATTTTGTTTAGCTTGTGAAAAGGTAAATATCTTAAATCATAGGAAAACATACAATGGCTGCATTTTATTGTAAACAATGAGTGCTCACTACGAAAACACTAGAAGAATACCACCCTCTTCCTTTTCCTGTTGATTTTCCATCCTATACTTTTGGACAAAATGGCATTTCCCTCCAAGACTTGATGCTCCATTCTTTCCCAGGTCTTGTTACTGACATAATTTCCTAAGTTATTGTGATTACTTGTATTGATTAATATCGCCGGTGCACAGGAGGCTTATACCAGCACCCATCTTCAAAGCCAGGGTGGACGTCTTCGCAAGAAATCTGGCTGCACACTCTGAACTGTAGAATAGGGTGTGAAAGATCAACAGTAATAACTGTGTATACCAGTTTTATAATGCCTATTGAAATCTATGCACCTGTTTATCTGGATACGTTGTTTTATACAGAGTAAGGAAATTCTAACATTGTAGTTATTGCTGGAACTGAGTTGTGCAGATCAAAGTGATAATTACTGTGTTCTAGAAATCCCTGTTTTTGATGATGAGGTTTTTTTAAGCCTATAACAACACATAGATCCAACTGCAAAAGCTTAAAATTGCCTCTTCAACAGAAGCAGGGCTTTGATTTCATCTAATTTGACCCTTCCACTGCACTTATAAGTGCACTCCAGTGTGGCTAGAGATAAAAACTTTGAAATTTAAATGTGCAACTTGCAGCTGAGGATGGATTTGCGAGCTAGGACACAGAGTACCTTTTGATGAGCAGCAGTTTTCATTACAGCTGTCAGAAAATACCTCCCCATTAGGAAGCGATGAGTACATTTAATTCAAGTCCAACCCTTCCAACACCATCACTTACAGACACTCTTCTGCTCTGTGAGTGAGGTTCTAATAATACACTGAGCCATGTGGGACACACCAGGGTGATTAATGCTTGGATGTGAGCATACACTGCACTGAGTATATATTTTCCCCTTAAATGAATATATCTGGTTTTCATTGATATTGAGGTAGATTTGCTCTGTACTTGCTCACATGAGGAAGCCTAGAACTGTGGGATCTATCATTCAGTAATAGCTCCTGATAACTCCAGCAGTCGGAACATGGCAAAGTAAAAAATGTGAATTCATATTCACTTTTAATAAACTGGGGTAATTAGTCAGTTGAAATGCAATAGAAAGTGACAGCCTGTGACACATAAAAGACTGCAGACTGACAAAGACAGAGCTATTCTTCATTGCACTAACATCCGTTTCTTCATCAACATTGAATTTTTTCAGTCTCTTGGCATTTCAATTACATTATAAAATGAAGGGCTAAAATCCTGGCTCTGCATTTTTTCTTCTCCTCTTTGAGACTGAAGAAAAGAGATGAGAAAAACCCTCTCCACAACGTGCTTCTGAACCACCTGAAATGATGCCAGTGTGCCCTGGCATCCAGAGTACCCACAGTGTGTGCAGAAGGTGTTCAGCCTTGACATCATTAAGGTGCTGCTGGGATGGTGAAATCCCTCCAAAGATGTTGGCTGGAAGACAAAGAAAATGGAACAAAATAGATTAAAAAAAAAAAAAAAGTAGCAAAATGTCTGCAACTTGAACAAATTTAACCATAAATGTCGACATATCTCAGAAGGTCCTTCACTCCTTGCTCGTATTATGGGTACTTCTCTCTGCATCCTGAGTGCCTGACACCTAAAAGGGACCATCAGAGGCAGTCAAGTAGCTCATTTCTGGCAGAAGGCAATATGTATTCCCACTTCACCCACTACGCCTCTCCCCCAGCGCTCCCACCACTTGTCAGGAGGTACAGCAGGGTTTTGGGACACAGGAAACAGGGTGGCAGTGTGGCCAGAAGAAAGACAAGCTTGGACATCAAGCCAGGGTCAGATCAGTGAAGTGTGTTCAGGTCCCAAACTTTGCCAGATCCAGTGGCAGCAGAGGAGGAGGACTTTCAGCTCATCTTATGGGAGCAGCAGCTAGTCAGATGGCTCTGCCTAGGAAAATCCTGGTTTGTGGTTCCCCTTCTTTTATGGCGAGTATTCATAAGGTCCTTGTTTAGGGACATAAAAGTGACATCTTATAAATATATAGTATGAGGCAGCTACACTTGTGTCATCTCAGTATTTGATGAGGTTAAGCCTATTCAGAGAGAAGCAGTACCAGTTGTTTGATCACTTGAGACAATGGTAAAAAATAGACCAGTTGTCTGGCACTTGAGTGCTTCCTCAGGACTGAAACAGTCTCACTGATAGCTTGAAGCAGCCCGGTGACCGGAACACTGCTGCTCTTCCTGCTGTTCAGGTCCTCTGAAAATCCAAGCATAAGCCTCCAGCAGAGAAAAAGAAGAGAAGAGAAAGTATTTTTACATGAAGACCAAATGACTTTTTAATCCTTTTTTTAATGACATCAGGATATCTTGCTGTGCAAAGCCTCAGCTTGTTGACTGGTGAAACATCAGTGACTTACCTCCCAGGCGTGCTGTTTTGTTAATTTTTATATATGGTTTTGAAAACCTTGGATGGAAGGCACCAAGGTTGAGCAGTATAATTTTCTCAGAAATCTCATGGTCTCATTTGTTTCAGTCGTATGTCAAAGCGGCTTTTAATTTCTCAGTTGTGGGACTCAAGTCTTAAAATACACTACCAGCCAGAAGCTCCCCTTTAAGTACCAGAATGAAAGGGTCAGGTTTTCAATTGTTTCCAGTCTCCTGCAGTTCCTATTGTTTTAATAGAGAAGTGCTGTTCAAAAAACTTAGTTCCCAGCTGTAGGTATGAGCACTTCTACTGCTGTGACCTAATACTTCACAGCACACTCGCTACTTCTATCACCTCAGTGAAAAGGGATCTGGAGGGGACTGGTAGTCCAACTGGCATCCACAGAAAAATGGTGATGAACTGAACTGCTTCCACTGCCTCCTTTAGAGTCTTATTTTTGAGTGAAACAGAAGTAATCTTTGCAGAGAGAAATTAGCTACTGCATGTTTTCTGCAGTTTTTGCAAATCTTAGAGAGGACAAATGGAAAAAGAAAAAAAAAAAGAAGCAACAGAAAGAGTGTTAGTGACAGGGGTGGAATTATTCATTTGTGACCCATTTTGTTGATAATAGAGTCGTGAAGGTCCCTCTGCTGCCCCACAGAAAGAGCAGCCCAGGCGCTGTGATGGGTCACTGTAGGATACTGTTGTCTTCTCCATTCTCTAGTGGGATGATTTCCTACCTCTGATGCTTTTCTTCCATCAACAGCAACATGTTTTCAGTAACTGCTTTAACCAAAATTCTGAATGTCAAGCGGCCAAGGATATGAGCTTGGACCTGTGCTTAAAATCTTGAAATACATTGTTTTTAAATGCCTGTTTGAGCAAAATTGAGGCTGCATGAATTAATCTTCCGAAAGAGGCATGAAGTGCAGGCTAGTTCCTCTAGCGGAGTATTGACTCAGGTATTGACATCGGTGGAACTAAACCCTTTTACACCAGCTGAGGGCTCTGCATCTGTTGTTTTAAATTCAGGAAACTTTCCACAGAAAGGGTTTTATTCTCACCCCATTCAGCCAGCTCTGTTCCCAATCAGTAATACAGCACACATTTGCCAGGTCACTGCAGAAGTGAGATAAATCTGCAGATGATGAAGAAGTCTTAATCATAGTTTAGTTTTAACCCTTAGTTTCTGCTCCTTTGCTCTTGCATTATTCATTCTAGTAAATCACCTTGATTCTGGCAGGCAAAGCAAGGGGAAATAAGCTGGTGCTTGTTTTCACCTCAAGCAGCCAAGTGGTTAAAGGACTGGCATGTAAACAGCTCCTACACCTATGCTGTATTTCAAAGTCCGGTGGGATTCTACTTTAATCTTGAGAGGGAGTGTGAGGGGTTTGTTTTTCACAGGGGCTTTAGCCTACAGTTAAGTGCAAACACCTGCTGAAGTACTGGTAATTAGTAGGTAATTAGTAGCTAATGTTCTTAGAATTTAAAAAGAAAAGCTTACATAAGTAATTACTTACTATTTCTTATAATGTGCTGCTTTTCCTGAGATTTTATATCCCCAGAACATTTGCCAAGTTCCTAGGTTCCTCAACATACTAAATTGTTTATTAATTACACACGTATATTTCTTGTAGAAAAAATAAAATGCATTAAAATGCTGGAAAAAGGAGTGAGTTATCTTTTAAATTACAGCACAAGATTCATTAGAAATGACAGAATTTGCAGAGGGTAAGGGCTTCAGGAGGAGCATTACTGTGGGGCTGGGGGAGGAGGGCTGAGGTGGCAGGAGAAATGAAAGGAGCTGTTGGGTAGCACAGAATGAGCTCTTACTTTTTGGACAAGAAACACAAAGTGTGAAGTGGCAGTGGTGGGTGTTTTGCCCACGCCAGTAAACGTCCAGCATGGCTGGGGAGTCCCAGCAGGATTCAAGTGTCCTGCAGTCGCTCCATGTTAGTGTGTCAGGAATTGGGAGCTAATCTGGCTCTGCAGCAAAGTAGTTGGAATGGCATTTCACCTCCTGCTGAAGGGTCTTTTCTGAATCGGTGGAAGAGTTGAAATTTTGACTTTGCCAAACTCACTAAAAGCACTCCCTGTGAGAGTGAGAGATAGGAATGCAAGGCTGTTGTTCTCTGTGTGCTCTGGACTATAGCTAGCTTATGAAGCAGCTATCATAGAATCATTGTAGTTGGAAAGAACAAGAAGACCATCTAGTCCAATCACCAACCCATCCCCACAATGCCCACTGACCACTGCCTCAGTGCCACAGCCACACAGTTCTTGCACACCTCCAGGGACAGTGACTGCACACCTCTGTGCCACGGCATCACTGCTCCTTCTGAGAATAAATTGTTCCTAATATCCAGTCCCATCAGGGGTTGTGATTACATTTACTAGCTCTCAGCCTTGTTCTTGCAGCATGGGGACAGGCTTTATGCAGAGGCAGAAGAAGGGTACATCTGCCGAGGTCCACCCACGGTCTGAATGCTCCTCAGAAAATGTCCTGCCATGTGACCATGCCTACAGCTTGATATGAGCCTCTAATTACAGGACAGTAAGGAACACCTTCCCAGTCCTCCCCAGCGATTACACTCCTGTGAAATAAAATGTGTACAAAGACAGAGCTATTATCAGCAAGGATCATGTAAAGGTAAGGCATATTTATTTCTACAGAGTAGTCCTGGAAGGGAAGATATTGAATTTTACTCCACAGTTTCCTATACTGGAGGACAGGCACAAAAGCTTTGAGGGACCTGCTGTCTTCCCCAAACATGTGCTGTGCAGCAGGGTCCTGGGAATGACTGAGCTCTTTCACTCATGTAGAGTGAGGGCTGCTGGAAGAACCTGTATGAGAGAAACTCCCTACTATTCCAGGAAGCTCACCAATCTCAATCAGCAGCCTTCAGACCATGGCCCCAGTGACAGTGGGGAGTGTCTCTGGAGATCTCTAGGCTTTTAACTTCCTTTATCTTGTTTCACTCCATTTCAATTAGGACTCTGAAAATGAAGAGTTTTTGGGAAGTTTGGCCTGAACCGTCATTGATTCTGTAACAAAAAGAAGATTCAACTGAAGATGGGGCCACTCTTTGAAGACAAATAATGATGCTGGATTTCTCCTTAGTAGTACTACTCAGAGATAAGTTTTGTTTTTTACCTTGGCTGTGAATAAGAAAAATAAACAAACAATCACTAATTGGACTAACTGAGATCAAAGCTGCTGGTAGGCACCAACTTAGCGTACTGCTTGGGTTTCCTCAGGGTTTTAGGACCTCCAGCATTCTTATTAGTCCTTTCCAATCAATTAAACTGAATGAGAATGGTAAAAAGTAAAACAAAGAAAGAAAGAAAAAAAAAAAATGTTTTCCAAAAAACCTCACCATAAACCAAAACAACAAACACGTGGATGGGTTTGGCTCTTAAAGCCATGTGTTTACTGCATATTTTCATGCAGTACTTTAATTCTCGCTGAATAATCTTTTTGAGGTGTACACCTTAAAGCCTCAAAGCCCAGCTGTATCTTAATAGCAACTAATATCAACTCCTCTCACACAGAGGTAGCAACTCTCTAAGGAGGCACTTAAATGCCAGGGCAGCTTTTGTTTTCTGAACACCTTGTCTGCTTTCTTCTGGTGAAGACAAACCATGTAGTCCCTCGTTGTTCACCTTTGCTTTTTATTCAGACATTTACCAGGATTCAGGATTTTCTGAACAACAGACAGCATTGCCTGTCAGGACAAAGAATACTTCGGAATGAAGGCATCCTCGGTGATAGAGATATTTGTCCTTGCAAAGACCTTACAGACAGAGTGGCTTTATGTCTCTCACAGTGTTTCTCTCAGTAAAAAAGTGCTAGCTTCTATTTTAATTAAAAATAGTGTGCGCCTCATACTTATATGGTAATGATTTGTAAAAGTATTTATGTTTCCTAAATAAGCAGTAATTAAAAAAATTAAACAGCAAATCTGTGGCCCTTTAGGAGCTATTTCCTGCCACCGTGCTATGCACCAGGGATGTGTGAAGCTTCCTAATCATAGCTGGGGACCAAAGCAGATTATTTTTGCTTCAAAGGCATCGGTCTGTACATTCAAACTATAAAATACCATCCTTGTGTTTAAGTACAATTAGTGGCATAGGGCTGAGAACTGAGTAGTTGTGGTTCGTCCTAAAGGGAGACAGAACGTTGCCCTCAGCCTGCTTGAGTTAATTCCTCATTCTTATAGCACATTTCATGCGGAGAGAGAAGTTACTATGCGAGGAGGCATGGTAAGAATATTGACACAAGAGGATCGTATCATATTCCTTGAATTACATTAGAAAACTGTTTGAAATAGCACGGAAATACCACCCAGCATTTTAAGAAAGGACGAGTAATTAGTTCAAATAAATTTGAACACGAATTGGCGTTAGAGTACAAGCACAATTTGGCCAAGACATCGGATTAATGTACCTTGCCAAAGGGCTTATGGCATTAAATCATCTAATCTAGCCATGCTTTCAGCGCTGAACAAAAGACCAATTCTTTAACCCAGTCCCCTCCGTGGGCCCACTCCATGTGCCCAGGGGTTCCTAATGCAGTTTTGTTCATCTTTTCCATGGATACCAACCTTGAATAGGCATCATGTTTTCCTGTTCCTCTAGCATGCTACATAAGATATTTCACCATGTGACTCAGTTCAGTTGCCTGATCAGAAATGTCAGGTGTGGTTTAAGATGCCCCATGGTGTCTGAGACATCTTCCAAGGCTGGCAGATGTAATGCATCACCAAAAGGACACTCATACCTTTTTGGACCAGGAGCTACTTCTTGTCCCATACATCTATTGGAAATGCCAGGCTGGTGCTGTACTGAAGAGAGAGTACGTTTGAGTTCCACTGTGACAGCCAGTTTCATTGTTATCATGCAATGCATTTTTACTATACTTGAGCATTTTTTGTTCTGATTCTCTCTGAAAATTTAGGACCAGATGGAAAACAGCTTTTCTGAGGCTACTGCATCCTCCCAGAGAGTTACTGGGGAGATGAGTTGGTTGATGATAATTTGCAATTTGATTCCTGAAAACCGGTTTGATTCCAGGTCAGTCAATTTTCTTTTGATACAAACTGATAGCAGAGAACAGAACAAAACTACACATGTTCTCCTCTTCTACAGTCTCCACTGATACATCATTTACCTGGCTGATGTATCAGTTCACACATGGAAAGAAGTATGCAGGTAACACAGGGTTATGCTTATCCATTGCAGGCTAATTTTCTCTGTTATATCCATTCTGCTTCACTCCCTTCATTGGGGGTGACAGGTGTAAATAACAGCAGCCAATTGTTTCTCTGTGACCTTATGCAAAAATGAATGAGATCCTTCAAGACTTGGTTGACTGTGCATTCATAATAATAAGGTAAGTGCAGCAATGATACAATGGCTTATTTTCCATTGCTGCCTTGGGGAACTAACTCAGCTCATATAATTGTTAACTGGTTGCTCAACTATCTAGGTTAAATCTGTGGCAGTGATGGTTGACCCCAGTGTCGGTTGGTATGTGAGTGTTATG